GTGTGTGTGTGAGAGAGAGAGAGAGAGAGAGAGAACGAGAAATCTCTTAGCCAGATGCAGTGGCACATGCCTATAATCCAGCTACTTAGGAAGCTGAAGGCAGGATCATAAGTTTCAGGACTGCCCTAACAACTTAGTGAAACCCTGATTCAGAGTAAAGAGTAAAAGGGCTAGAATATTGCTCAATGATAGAGCACCCCTGGGTTTAATTCCCAGTACTGTTGAAACAGTTCATTCTTTAGGACTAGGATTTAACTCAGTGATAGAGAGATGCCTAGCATGTGAGGTCTTGATTTGGATCTTCAGTACTGCAATAAATAAAAGAATAATAAATAAATAAATGAAATATCTTTTTTGACAACGGTCATCACATGGCACTCCAGTTATTTATATGCCAGTACATCCCCATTAGACTGGAAGCTAATTAGAGGAAGATGATTTTTGTCTAGTCATTATTTCTCTGTAGTCCATATACTTTGAATATAGTAATTCATTACGCAATGAATTGTGCTGCAGATTCTGTGTTTCCAAATAGAAGCATTAAGCTTTGAAACATAAATGTTCTTTTTCTTGGGGATAAAGTTACCTAGGTACTAATATTCTCAAAACTCCTTACTGATAACTTGTGCGTGAAATAAACAGCTATGAAGATAAATGAGTATCCTTCCTCTTCCTCAACCCCAAACCAGGTGCCCACTTTGAGTTTATAGAAATGGACCCGGTGGTTACCTCTTAACACACTTGGGGCACAGCAGGTTGTCCTCCAGGTGTGGGGGTGGAAAACTGCAAGAGGGGAGTAAGAACAGTGCGCTCACTTTCCCTTTTTTCTTTTCAGGTACCCAGGCTTGTCCAGCGTGGAACTGCAGCTGAACCCAACCACTTTTGTCTGCAGGGAGACTTCTGCCATGGACCACACACCACCTGACACCTGAGGAAGAAATGAGATTTTCTATGAGTATACCAGGACCACATGCTCATGTTCAGACTGACCATAGCCTGTCACTCTTAATTCAACTATCGTATTCAAATGGTAGCCCCAGGAAATGAACTCTGGAATCCTCACTTCACCTCTATTCTACCCTGTTGCACTTCAGGAAAGTATGAAAAGACAGTGCAGCTTCAACATTAAAGGCCTGGCTAGGTGTGGTGGCACACACCTGTAACCTGAACTACCTAGGAGGCTGAAGCAGGAGGATCACAAATTTGAGGCTAGTCTGTATAACTTAGTGGGACCCTCTCACCCTGTCTCAAAAAAAAAAAAAAAAAAATTAAAGAATGGTCAGTGTAGGGCACTTCTGTACTCAATCTTCAGCACTGAGAAAAAACAAAACACAAAGCAAACAAAACAAAATACTTCAAGATCACCATGAAATAGCTTCAGGGGTCTCAACTTTCACTGCATTTCTTATAATACTTAGAAGATAAATTTTATATTATTGATTTATTTTATGACAAGAAAACTGGGGACTGTTATGTCACTCAACAGATGCCAGGAGATCCAGAGCTCAAATCGATATAGTTGACTTTTATTTTTAATTAATTAATTAATTTTTGTATTAGTGTGTTCCTGGGGATTGAACCCAGGTCCTTTTATATGGTAGGCAAGTACTCTACTACCAAATACATTCTCAGTCCTTTTTCTTTTCTTTATTTATTTACTTATTTTTTTTTAACTTTATTTATTCATTTACTTATTTTTCTATTTATTTATTACTGAGGATTGAACTCAGGGGTGCTTTACCACTGAGCTACATGCCCAGCCTTTTTTATTTATTAATTTTTAAAAATCATTTTTCTTGGGGAGGAGGTACCAGGGATTGAACTCAGGGCCACTCAATCATTGAGCCACACCCCCAGCCCTATTTTGTATTTTATTTAGAAACAGGGTCTCCCCGAGTTGCTTAGAGCCTAGCTTTTGCTGAGGCTAGCTTTGAACTCTTGATCCTCCTGTCTCAGCCTCCTGAGCTGCTGGGATTACAGGTGTGTGTCACCGTGCCCAGCTTAAAAAATCACTTTTTTGAGACACAAATTACTTAATTGCCCAGGCTGCCCTTGAACTTGCAATCCCCCAGCCTTAGGCTCCTGAGTAGCTGGGACTGTAGGTGTGTGCCACTTTACCTGGCTTATTTTTTATTTAATTGATTGCTCAACACTGGAGGTTGAACCCTGGGGTGCTCTACGGCTGAGTTATATCCCCAATTCTTTTTGTATTTTTCTTTGTGACAGGGTCTCACTAAGCTGCTCAGGCTGGCTTTTGGACTTGCAATCCTCCAGCCTCAGGCTTCTGAGTGGCTAGATGACTGGCGTGTGCCACTGTGCCCAGCCAAACAGTTGATGTTAGACATTGCTGTTACTGGCTCCAGGAATTACCAGCCCTTGAGGTAGGTGATTTAGATATACTTTACTAATTCAGCCTATCTCCTCACTGAGTCAGAATAAGCTCTCCCTATTGGGCTTACCGTGTGTCTCTGGTGGGGACTGCACAGTCTCCGCCTGCATGGCGCTGGCTGCATCTGTATCCCAGGAGCCCAACACCTCCTCCGGGGCAGATGTCATCACCACACTTGTACTAACTTCTTCATAGAGAGCAGGGGGCTCCTCAAGGACAGGCAACTCCTCTAGCGAAGGGACCACTTCAAGGGGAGCAGTACCCACAGAACATGTTCTTTTCTTAGAACTTCCCAGGGGCTTTTTCCTTTTGTCTGCCTTCAAATTACTTCGAATTGACATCCGGGTCTCGTTTGCTGTGATAGGAATATTCTGCAAACAGAGCTAAATGTTAGAAATAACAAAAACAATAACAGTAAAGATGAAAATGCAGTGATGCATGCCTGTAATCCCACCTACTCAGGAGGCTGAGGCAGGAGGATGGCAAGTTTGAGGCCAGCCTCAGCAATTTAGCAAGTCCGTGTCTCAAAACAAAAATAAAAGTAGAATGTAGAACAGTGGTAAAGAATTCCTGAGAAATTCAATACCCAGTACCAAAACAAGCCAACAATAAACAAACCAAAATAGTTTGTGAGGCAATGCACTTGCTAATTAGCTCAATTTAGACATTCTGCAATATATACCCAATGAACAATGTTTTACCCCATAAACATTTACTATTAATATTCACAAATTAAAACAAAAGAGACTAGAGCTGTAGCTCAATCGTAGAGATTAGAATGACCTTTGGTTCAATCTCCAGCAGCAAAAAAATAAATAAAAAATAAAATATAATTTTTCATTAATTTTTACCATGTTGATGTTAAGTGGAGACAGGAAGACATTGTTCTTTCTTATGACCAGGGAGAAGCAAGAAAGAGGGGCTGAGATTGCTCCTCAACTCACCCCTACACCTGGTATTGAGGACTGAACTCAGGGGTGCTCTACCTCTGAGCCATACTTCAGCTCTTCTTCTTCTTCTTTTAGAGATAAAGTCTCACTGAATTGCTTAGTGCCTCATTTTTGCTGAGGTTGGCTTTGAACTAGTGATTTTCTTGCCTCACTCTCCCTGAGCTGCTGGGATTATAGGTAAGCGCCACTACTCCTGGCCTACCCCAGCTCTTTTTATTTTAAGACAGGGAGGGCCTCACTAATTTGTATAGGCTGGCCTCAAATTTGCAAATCTCTTCCCTCAGCCTTCCAAGTCACTGAGATTACAGGGGAGAGCTACCATAACTGGTCTCTAAAATCTTATTACTGAAGAAGTAGGTTATCAGGGTAAGAACGATTAATTTTCCTTAAAAGAAAGCGTTACTCACCTTTTGCTGTGGGTAAGCCTTGTCACAGAGCCTCTTATATGTATCTAATTTCTAAGACAAGAGAAAAAAGAGTTACTAAAGAAAACAAGGTTCCTATTTCTCCTCCCAGCAGGGTGTCTCCCACCCAGAGCCCTCACCTGGCCTTTGGAGCTCAAATGTAACTGTTGGCACCAGGCCCGCAAAACATCTCGGTGAACAAGGTTGATTGGTGGCAGTTCCGAGGGTAGGGGAGGAACTGATA